AAAAAAAAAAAAAAAAAAAAAAAAACACTGAACTTAGCACAGCTTTATGAAGTGCTTTACCAGCTGGTCTCAACTGACTATTCCTGTTTTCTAAACCAATCTAAGCATTATAGCTCTGAAATAATCTTTTGACTTTTTTATTGATGTATGATGTACACACAGTTAAGTACACACGTCCTAAGAGTATAGTTGATGAAGTAAAATGCTCAGGTAATTACTATACAGATTAAGACAGATAAAACATTACCAGTAACTGAGAAGCCCTCTTAGTTACTGCCTATGTCTCTTAACTAAAATATTCTAAACTCTAAACACATTGGCCTGTATTCTATATTCCCCAAATGTTTTATACACTTTCACTACTGGACCTTCTGCCCTTCCCCTCCCGACACCAATTTCTCTCTCTCTTAAAGCTAAACACAGATATCTTCCTCTACGGCATTAGCTCATCCTTGCTTATACTACACTCTATAAGTATCACCAACACAAGGCTTTTGGCACTATATTATGCTATCCATTTATTATTCACTTGGTAGCTTTTCTGAGAGCAGTGACCCCATATAGTACCACTTCTATAACAACTAGCCCACTGTTGCCACAATATAGGGTCTCCAATAAATGTCTTCCCTGAAAAAACTTAAAATTCAAACTTTCTTTGGAGGAAGAGCCGTCTATATCTACTTTACCTGTATGACATTCATTGCAGATAAATTTTCCTCTTGGCATCTCAGTCAATCCAAGGCACTCCAGGTGGAAAGCCCCACAGCACTGAGCCTCACATAACAGCAGCTCACCCAGTTTTTCACAATTCTGTTAAGAGAAAGAAAACGTCTATCTGTTTTTCCATGTTTGAGAATCAAGGGGAAAACCAGTGTCAGTGGATTATAGTAAACAAAGGTTAAAACTGGCAGAAAATGAGGTGAGAAAGAGGCAAGAGCCTGTAGTTGTAGATTTTATTCTAGTTGCAAAGGTGTACTGTTGGAAAGCTTTACAAAAGGAAGACTAAAATCAATTATTCATTTTTAAAGATTACTCTGACTGCTACATAGAAAACAAGTTCAAGAGTAGAAAGGTGAGAAAAGAACATAGACACAAACCAGAAGGCTATTGAATGGTTCTAGCAACAGACACTGGCTAGCTAGACTTGAGCCATAAAGTTCCAAAAGAGCTCCCACCAAGGTCTCAACAGTCCTTCAGGATACATCTAGAAGCATCCCAGAGAGCTGACTTTTCTGAAATAATCTCAGCTAAGATAGGGCCTCATTTAAGACAGGGGCTTAGGAAATAACAATGGGTGTCTGTCACTATAAAACTTTTTAAGATTTATTTAAAAATTCTGCAAATTCCCAATATTACTTTTTAACAACTCTAACACCCTGACTTGTATCCCCATGGTGATTAGCAGAAAAAAGCTTCAAATATTTCATTTATTATTTATTTATTTATTTTATTTGAAATGGAGTTTCACTCTTGTTGCCCAGGTTGGAGTGCAATGGCGTGATCTCGGCTCAGCGCAACCTCCACCTCCTGGGTTCAAGCGATTCTCCTTGCTCAGCCTCACGAGTAGCTGGGATTACAGGTGCACGCCTCCATGTCTGGCTAATTTTTCGTACTTCTAGTAGAGACAGGGTTTCACCATGTTGGCCAGGCTGTTCTCGAACTCCTGACCTTGTGATCTACCCACCTCGGCCTCCCAAAGTGTTGGGATTACAGGTGTGAGCCACTGCACCCAGCCCAAATATTTTCTAAAGCCCTATACTACTATGAAAAGCAAACAAAGGGAAAGGTGACTAAGCAAGTTCTAGCTTCAAGAACTCATAGAAACAGAATAGTTCTTGATCACTTCAGCATTAAAGCTTAAACAAACAAATGACTAGAAGGGCTTTGGGGAGAAAGGTTAGAGAGGTAGCCTCGAATTGATAGGGGACCCCAGGGACTTTATCAAACTACAGTCTGAGCTATCCTCAAATGTCTGACTCCTCATTATCTACTATTCACATGTAAAAATTGAAAAATACCATTATATAATGTACTTTGCATATTCAGAGTATCAATAACATAAGTTTTTATATACAGTTAAAAATATTGAGCTTCAACACATAAATAGGAAAACATTACTTACAATGTGAATTAGAAACAAAATTTTCACATTAACTAAATGTTATAAACTAATTCATCAACTGGGATAACATGTAATTTATCTTTCAAACTGGGACACTTGAGAGTGAAAGGAAGTGCTATTAATAAATTATGACAGCACAAAGACTGATCCAGACAAGCCAGGACCACAGGGTCACCTTACCTTTAATCTTTTTATTAAATGATCTTTGTAAAATGTATTTACATTCTGACTTGTCTCACTAAGTAAATAATGGGCATAACTGTTTTTGAGGATTAACACTATTGTTTAGGATCTGGTCTAAGTATGATCAAAACTCTTTATTTAACAGTGAAGGTAATAGGCAAAGAAACTGGTTTGAAATTATATTGGCCATAATAACATTTTTCTGGTTTCTGAGTTAATTTTTTTAGAGATCTCAACTTATTTATCTATTACTATTTATTATTTTTGAAATAGAGTCTCACTCTGTCAGTCAAGTGGGAGTCAAGTGGCATGACCATGGCTCACTGCAGTCTCTACCTCCTCAGCTTCAGGTGATCCAATGACCTCAGCCTCCCAAGTAGGGGGGACTACAGGCATGCACCATCATGCCTGGCTAAGTTTTGTATTTTTGGCAGAGAAAGGGTTTTACCATGTTCCCCAGGCTGGTGTCAAATTCCTGGGCTCACATGATCCACCCACCTTAGCCTCCCAAAATGCTGAGATTAGTGCTGTGCTTGGCCTGTGGTTTCAATTCAAAAAAGAAAGGACTAATATTCTCAAGTTTTTTGTTTATTTAACAAACAAGTCTGTAATCTTGACCTGTTGGGCTACAGATGTGAGCCACTGCAGCCAGCTAATCAAAAACAAAAAACAAACAAAAAAAACCCTTTTTTTTTTTTTTTTTTTTTTTAACATAGAAACAGGGGTCTAACTGTGTTGTCCAGGCTGGTCTAGAACTCCTGGCCTCAAGCAATTTTTCTGCCTCAGCTTCCAAGGGCACTGGGATTTAGGTATGAGACGCTGCGAGTCACCTATCTTCAAGTTTTTATATACCAAATTTTAAGAATTACATAGGTAAATCAAGACCATTAAAAAAAATACTCAAATAGTCATTGACTCTACTCACAAAGACTTAAAGGTTCTTTAACAATGGAGTCCCCTATTTCACAGAGCAGCAATCCAACAGAATGGTTAAGACTCTAAACCAACCAAGTACAACAGAACTTAAAGGTTTAAAAAAAAGGAGAGGAAGACTAAATCCAGACTGCCGAGGTTTAAATCCAGGCTTCTCTCATTAATATAAGCAAGTTATTTATCCTCTCTGTAATTTAGTTTCCTCATCTGCCAAATGGAGATAGTCACAGAACTCAACTCATGAGATTATTAGGATGACTAAAGAAGGCATTATTTATAAAGTGCTTGGAACAATACTTCATACATAGGAAGTGTACTGTATAAATACTTATTAAATAAAACAATATAGGTGATAGGCTTTCTAAAGTCACAACATTAAAGGAAAAATGTCTCAAAGTTAAAATTACCCTTGAAAATTTCCTTAAAAACCCAAACACTCTGACACCATGAGAAGTACTGGAGAATTATATTTGAATAAGCAACCAGAGATTCACATATTCCATCTCAGACTTGCCTCACGGCATATATTCCTTCACGGACCTTAAGGGCAGGTGGTTCACCAACACTAAACTATTTCTCCAAGTTTCTTTCTTTGTGGGGAGAAAAAAAAGGGTCAAATCCTTACGAAAGTGATTCCAATAAAATCATGCAAAAGCATTGTTATTCTAACCAAGAAGTGATCATAAAGAGACAGAATGGGTTTCCATTTAAAGATGAACATGCAATGAAAACACAAGTGGGCAAACATTTCTCTACCTGACAAACATTCTCCTTGAGTGCAGCTCCTCCACCGCGTTCACCCTGCATTTTTTTAGAGGCAGGCATCCCAGGATCGTGTTCTACACCTTCCTCAACAGTCTCCTTGGGGCTTGCAGCCGTCCTGTGAAGCATTAGTTCTCCCTTGCAGAGAAAAAATAATGTCCCACATCTGTATTATTGATGTCTCTTCCATTTGACCCCCTCCCTCTGGGATGCTATTTGTCTAGCCATTAAGCACTTACAGATGTTCAGTCAATCACTCAGGCGGACTGCATGCAATGTTAGTTCTAACCCTGCTGTGATTGGGCGGGTAGTGGGCGCCTCATGCCCTGCCACTAACTGCTCTGAGGCTGTTTGTTCCACTGGAACTTTCTGAGCTGTTCCATTTTAAGGTTTCACTAAGGGAGAGAAAACATTCTTAAGTTTATTTGATTACTTATTTGTCCTTCCAAGATCAGTGTTTCCTAAATAATGCCCCTCTTGGGCATTCAGTTCAAACTGTCCTGGAAAGAAGCATTCTGCATCATAACATATGATGCTGACCTGACTTCTCTCTTTTAACCTCAGTTGGAAACCCAGAGACAATATCAATTATTGCACTGATGCTTTGCAAGAAAATGGTTTTAAATCTTTTGTTTCCTGAAAGCTGATGTTCATAAACATTGTCCTAAAATTAAGCAGCTGATGGTCTCAAGAAATAAGCAAGTAAATCTTCCCCCTAATCACAGCAGTCTCAACTTTTTTTTTTAAATAGAGACAAGGTCTCACTATATTTCTCAGGTTGGCCTCAAACTCCTGTTCTCAAATGATCCTCTCATCTCTGCTTCCCAAAGAGCTGAGTGGCATGAGTCACAGCACCCAGCCAGCAGTCTCAACTTCTTTCTTTTACAACAGTCTTACTCTGTCACCCAGGCTGAAGTACAGTGGCATGATCTCGGCTCACTGCCAACCTCTGCTTCAAGGTTGTTTAAGAGATTCTTGTGCCTCTGCCTGATTAGCTGAAATTATAGGCGCATGCCACCACACCAGGCTAATGTCTGTATTTTTGGTAGAGACAAGGTTTCACCATGTTGGCCAGGCTAGTCTTGAACTCTCAACCTCAAGTGATCTTTCTGCCTTGCCTTCCCAAAGTGCTGGGATTACAGGCGTAAGCCACAGCACCCAGCCAGTCTCAACTTTTATAGGGCAGTATCTAAGTTCCTTCAGATCATACTGATGTGGTATTGTGCTTTCTGGTTTTACAGGTTTACTTAATGATGACACAGTTATATACCTGACTGGACACCTACAGCATAGGATGTGATGATCTTTTAAAAATGCCATATCGACAGCTGCAATATGTGCCTTGCCTTATTATTAAGATGAGGCTCTACTTTTCCTCCAAGATTCCTCATGGCCATCAGCCATTTCAGTAGAATACTATTCTTCATTCTTAAGAAAACTCAAGGGAAAGAGGGATGTGGCCTCCGGTGTGAAAAGTAGCTTCTCTTTAGAAGGTAAAAAGACCAGGAACTGAGTAATACCTCTGAGCTTGAAATCTCTTTTGATGAGTCATCATTTTTCACTTTTTTACACTGCATCTTGGCTACAGCATGCCTCTGTCGTTTTCGCTTCCTTGGTTTGTCAAATATCTTGGTAGTGCCTATGACAGGAAAGTAGGTGTTATCTGCTGGCTAATGACACACATGTCCAAAATCTCTTATCCTATTATTAAGAGTATAACCAACTTTAAAACTCATTTAATTCTCCAGCTTTGTGGATTAGGAAAATGAAGGAAATAAGAAATGAGACTAACTCATGATGACATAACTAGTTGGAAAATGTATGTTACATTTATGTTAACTTCTGCCTCATATAGATTAAATAGTAACATATGTTAACTTCTGCCTCATATAGATTAAATAGTAAGTGTATAGGTTATTACAGAAATTTTAATTTACATGACCGAAATGACAAATGTTGTAGTTCTTCAAAGGAATTAAATCCTATAGATGGAAGTAAAGTGCCTTCCTTTTCATTTTACTAATCATGAAAAGATACCACTCCCTAGACTTCAAGATTGGAGGCAGTAATATATATCACAATATGATTTAAGGATTAAAGGCCAGACACAGTGGCTTACACCTATAATTCCAGCATTTTGGAAGGCTGGCAGATCACCTGAGGTCAGGAATTCAAGAACAGCCTGACCAACATGGTAAAACTCCGTCTCTACTAAAAATACAAAATTAGCCAGGTATGGTGGTGCATGCCTGTAATCCCAGCTACTAGGGAGACTGAGGCAGGAGGATCACTTGAAACCGGAAGGCGGAGGTTGCAGTGAGCCTAGATTGTGCCACCACACAACAGCATGGGTAGCAAGAGCAGAACTCCCTCCCCACCAAAAAAAAGAAAGAAAAGAAAAATGGATTAAGATGGAGAGTTGAGGCCAGGCACAGTAAGTAGCTCACGCCTGTAATCCCAGCACTTTGGGAGGCAAGGTGGGTGGATTACCTGACATGAGGAGTTCAAGACCAGTCTGGCCAACAGGGCAAAACTGTCTCTACCACAAAATACAAAAAATTAGCTGAGCGTGGTGGCAGGCACCTGTAATCCCAGCTACTAGGGAGGCTGAGGCACATGAATGGCTTCAACTCAGGAGGCAGAGGTTGCAGTGAGCCGAGATCTTACCATTGTACTCTAGCCTAGGCATCAGAGCAAGACTCCATCTCAAAAAAAAAAAAACAGAGAGTTGAAATATGTAAGATTTGGCTTACAGAAGCTGAGGGAGAGATCCTCCAATACATTCAGAGGTTTAAAGGATATTCATGCAGTGGTAGCATATCCCTGAACATCCAACAACATCAAATGAAGGCATGGTCACATTTGGTGTATTTAGAAAAAGAAATTCTAGGCTGGGTGCAGTGGCTCACGCCTGTAATCCCAGTATTTTGGGAGGCCGAGGCAGGCGGATCACAAGGTCAGGAGTTTGAGACCATACTGGCCAACATGGTGAAACCTGGTCTCTACTAAAAATATAAAAATTAGCTGGGCGTCATGGCACACACCTGTAGTCCCAGCTACTCAGGAGGCTGAGGCAGGAGAATCGCTTGAACCTGGGAGGTGGAGGCTGCAGTGAGTCGAGATCGTGCCACTGCATTCCAGCCTGGGCAACAGAGCGAGACTGTCTCAAAAGATATTCTTCTAGTCCCTCCTACACTTTCCATTAAATATATTTCAACTGTGTTTATAAACACCAAGAGGAATCTAAGAGGTATTTCACAGGATATTTATGCTAGATATCAATATGAAAGCTGGAATTTGGAAGACTGCTCAGTAATCTCTTTTTTGACTGACTGAATTGGAGAAGCTCTGCTACCAAAACTGTTCACAGCCTAACACTGAAAGAAGAGTTGTAGCTTTATATAAATCCAAAAAAGAAAAAGAAAGAAGAGTTCATATGAGCACAACAGAAAGGTTAGAATTTCTCACAAGCTGGCACACTTACACAAAATTTATAATGGAAAAAGTTCATGCTGTAGGTTTAGGTTTTATTTTAAAAATGAAATATAAAAGTACAGGAAAAGAGCTGAAATTATAATTATTACTATTAATATTTTAAGAGACATGATCTCTCACTGTTGCCTAGGCTAGAGTGCATGGTGTGATCAACAGCTCACTGTAGCCTCAACATCTTGGGCTCAAGGGATCCTACCACATCAGCTTACCAAGTAGCTGTGACTAAAGAAATATACCATCATGCCTAGCTAATTTTCTTAAAATTGTAGATAGAGACAGGGTCTCACTAAGTGTCCAGGCTGGTCTGGATGGAACACCTGGCTTCAAGTAATTCTCTTGTCTTGGCCTCCCAAAGCACTAGAATTGCAGTTGTGGGCCACCATGCTCAGCCTGATATTATTTTCAAAGCAGCTCATTTTTAAATCATATAAGCAAATTTACCAACCTACGGGATTGTAATTGCCACATGGCTAAACTAAGCTAACATACTGCTAGATTTACTTGTTACAAAATTTAATAATCATAGGTCACATGAAACATAATCTTCCCAAGATACTCTTTGCTAGCAGACAACATCTGCTGCAATGTGCTCAAATCTGGAATAATATTTCAAAAATGCACTAATCAATAAATGGCATTGGCAGATAAATGAAGAGTGGAAGAAAGAAATGGCATGGAGGAAAACCTGGGGTGGATAAGAAGACAGGAGTATAGCAATGAATTTGGTCAGGTGTGGATTTAGTTCCCTGACCTTGCTACCTTGTTTGTCTTCACATTTCTTCTATAAAACAGGAATACTATAGATAATAACCTAACTCTCTGTAATGCTTTAGACAGATTACAGGTAGCATTCCTACTAAAAGTCCTGGCAGAGTAGATGTTCAGTTTACGAATATTTTATCTGTTTCAGGAAGCACGTTTTGGGCAAACCAGTTTTAAAACTTGTACCTCACTTGTCTGGCTTACACATGTAACAATCTTTGTGGTTAATGGACAAAGCACTTCCAACTTACTACTACATTTTTTAAATCTCAAAAATACTCACCTCCACCAAAATCTTTTGAATAAGATGTGGTACAAGATTCAGTTATGCCACTCCCCAGGTGACCAGCTTCATAGCACTACAAATAAGTGAAAACAACACAGTTTATTTAAAGAGGAATGAAATAATAAACTCTTAACCTTATATGCCAAAGTCTGAATTGTCGGCTGCCACAGATATAGAATTGACTTATTTTTGCAATTAAAAAAATCAACATGACCACAGTAAAGGGTTGAACAGAAGCTTCAGGGGGAAAGGAATCAGATTTTAAAATGCTCCAATAGCCCTGTGAACACCACATACTTTGTAATCCCAGCTACTTTGGAGGCTGAAGCAGGAGAATCGCTTGAACCTGGGAGGCGGAGGTTGCAGTAAGCTGAGATTGCGCCACTGCATTCCAGCCTGGGCTGAATGAGACTGTCTCAAAAAAANAAAAAAAAAAAAAAAATTAGCCAGATGCAGTAGTGCACACCTGTAGTTCCAGCTACTTGGGAGGCTGAGGCAGGAGAACTGCTTGAACATAGAAGGTACAGGTTGCATTGCACCAAGGTTGCACCACTGCACTCCAGCCTGGGTGACAGAGCAAAAGTCGGTCTCAAAAAAACAAAACAAAACAAAAACCAAAAAGGAAAAATGATCTATCTTCCTACAATTATATTCTTACATTCACAGCTACTAGATTTGACATAGACTTGTGTACAGGTATTGATCGACTTACGACCTATGCAACTTACGACCATTCGACTTTACGACCACAATCGCCAGCCACGACTGCTCCATGTCTGGCAGCGCAAACGTTGCCCAGCTGGGCGTACGACAGTGCGGACCAGCTTCCGGCAGCACTACCATCTCCGTGTGCATATAGCCTACTCAACTTAACGACCAAATCATGTTACGACCGGTCTGTCGGAACCAATCGTGGTCGTAAGTCGAGCACTAGCTGTACTTGGTAAACTGTAAATTAAACAGTTCTGAAATACTGAATGATTTTCCAACTTAAAGTGACTTCAGATTAATCCTTAAAGCAACATTAAAATGCAAGGCAAATACTCAACATCAGGAGTCTAATCAAGAGCCAAACATTTTATTCCCAATACTAATACTTGTATTAATTAGTTCCGTCTCAAGCAAATATCTTTTCCTACAAAAATGATAATACTCTTCATCATAATGGTAAAACAACATTTAGTGGTCACAAAGTCAGTATAATAAAAGCCATTCTTACTGTAGAGTTTCTAATGTTTGAGACTAAAACAAGATAAAATACAGCTGTGAATTTCTGAATGTTCATTTTACATTACTGAATCATAAGAATGCAATTCTCCTCATGTTCAGTATATATCAAAAGTCTAACCATGTCAAGTAATATGAACGGGCAAATGTTAGGTATCCAATTCAACAAAATGAGACTCCTAGACAAATCCTCAAAACACATTTCCATAATTTTTTTTAAAATAGCAATTATTGTATTTAGGTAACAAATTTGTTCATTGTTTAACAGGTACTCAAAAGCTATGGAACAAAATAATTACAATGCTCCCCAAACTACAGAGAATAATGCAGGAAATATTATCATATCTATTCTGATCAATTTTATAAATTAAAATAAAAATTAACAGCACACACACATACACGAATCATACAATACGAATAAAAATCAAACTGTTCTGCTTAGAATGAAAAAGACCAAAGAACTTCTTAGGGGATGTGACTAAGATACCAGTAACTTTGTATATATAGTCTAGTCTGGATATACATTAAGCCAGAGTACCCTTAAAGCACTACCAGAACAGATCATCTCTCATTCTGTTCAACCTATTGATTAATCCACTGGCAGAGAGGGTGGTGGTATGCCTAGTAAACTAAAATGGAACTGAATCATGGCTTTAGCATTATGACAAAATATACCTCAGAGTAACCAGGACTTCCACAAGGAAGTAGACCAGGTCAGATGGCAGGACAGACTCCCAAACAGATAAGAGATCACTTTTCTCCAGAGTTGGGTGCTAGCCATAACCAATAATTCTGATTTTCTCTTGCTCTAGTCTCAAATTTAATGGCAACACCCACTCCCAAATAGTAAAAATTCAACAGTGACAAAGAGTTATTAAGTATAAATAATATTTTTAAAATACTGAGAATACAAGAGAGGGTAAGGATAAATAACTATCAGGGATAACCAAAAAGCTAGTAAAAGAAAATACAGGAAGAGCATCTTTGTGTCCATGGGGCACACAAAGATTTCTTCAATTAATTAATTAATTTATATATATATATATATATATATATATATAGAGAGAGAGAGAGAGAGAGAGAGAGAGAGAGAGAGAGAGACAGGGTCTTGTTCTGTCACCCAGGCTGGACTGCAATAGCACAATCATAGCTCACTGCAGCCTTGACCTCGGGCTCAAGACATCCTATCCCTTCAACCTTCTGAGTAGCTGGGACCACAGACACGTAACACCACACCCGTTTTTTGTTTGTTTGTTTGTTTTTGTGTGTGTGTGTGTCTGTGTGTGGTTTTGTTTTTTATTTATTTTTATTTTTTTTATTTTTTGTAGAGCTAGGGAATCCTTTGTTGCCCAGGCTGGTCTCAAACTCCTCAGCTTAAGCAATCCTCCTGCCCCTAAATCCTGGGATGATAAGCTTGAGCCATCACACTAAATTCCTTGAATAAAACACAAAAAGTATTAATCATGTAAGAAAAAGAAATTGATACATTAAAATTTTTCATCTCAAGAAAATACTAAGAAAATGAATAGGAAACTCTCACACTGGGAAAAAATATTAACACCTGATATAGCTCACAAAGGATTTATAAGCCAAATACATAAAGCACTCCAAAAAAAAAAAGCCACAAAAATAACCTAATCAAAAATACACACATACTTCAACGGCCACTTTACAAAGATATAGGAATGGTCAGTAAGCATATAAGAAGCTAAAATAAAAACCATAATTATATATCATTTCATGTCTATCAGAATTGCTAAATTTAAAATAGTGGAGAAGCCGAAACTCTCATATAATGCTGGTGCAAACATTTCAGAGTACTGTTTGGCAATTTCTTTTTTATTTTTACATTGGAAGGCAATTTCTTAAAAGATTTAAACATCTAAAATTGATCCAGCAATTCCATTCCGAATTACATCAAAAAAATAAAAATATGTGTTTGCCATTGGGTTTGAACTCTCCTAAAGTTCATGTGTTGGAAACTTAATGCCAATCTAAAAGTGCTGAGAAGTGGAACCTTTAAGGGATGATTAGGTCAGCAGGGTTCTGCCCTCACAAATGGATTAATGCCATTAGTGCAGAAGTTGGGTCCAGATTCAAAAAAAGAGTTCAGCCCCCTTCACTGTCTCTCAAGAATATACTCTCTCACATGTTCACCTCCTGCCATGAGATGACAAAGCAAGAAGGACCTTGCCAGATGTGGGTCCTGAGACCTTGGACTTTCCAGTACTTCCCAGGCTCCAAAAACATGAACTAAATAAACTTCTATTGTTTATAAATTACCCACTCTGCAGTATTCTGTTACATGACTATAAAACAAAGAAAAAAAATTAGTTGGGAGTGGTGGTGGGCACCTGTAATCCCAGTTACTAGAAGGCTGAGGCAGGAGAATCACTTGAACCTGGGAGGCAGAGGTTGCAGTGAGCCCAGATCGCACCACTGCAATCCAGCCTGGGCAACAAGAGTGAGGCTCC